ATTTGAAAATTAAAATAAAGCGAGTTTCATCCTTTAAGTCCCCGTTATAGCATCGATTACCAATATCCTCTATTTAGAGTGACGGCAATCTCGCCACAGGTTGCATTGAGAGGGACATCTGGCAGCTGGGTTGTGAATCAATGTGTGACGTCGCAATAGGCTCAGTGCTAATACTTAAAGAGCTTCTATCGACTAACTTTGTGTTCGGTAAAACAGACCAAGAAAGTTAAACATGTTATCAAAATGTTTAGTCCATGAACACGTCCGAAAAACGACAAATACACAACAATATAGATCGCGTTCACTTAAAATAGCAGGTGACCCGTGAAGATCCGGGTTAAAATAGGTCATCAGCAACCCATGCTTGCCGTTAAAGGCGACTTTGCTTGTCGTTAGAGGCGACTAACGGGATCGGGTGATCAGGCTCGCTGACTTGGATGATGCATGTCATTGTATCCCAACTGCGTGGATCGATGCTCATGTTGTCAATCACTGGATTGTCTGGTCCAGACTCGATTATTTGCAGAGTCATATAGCTGGAATAATGCTGAGTGCGGCGTTAAACAACAAACAAATAAATAAAATAGCAGATCATGGCTTGCGTAGAGACACCGCAGCTAATATCATATCATGTTCGGGGCCAGAACCCGGTTCAAATTCTAAAGTTGATTAATCAAAAACAAGAAAAGGTTCCCATCATACATGCTTGTCGCACGAGGCGACTAACGGGATCTGGTGATCAACTCGGTTTCTGTATTGATCGCGCGTCATCTACCCCACAACGTGGGGCGTTGCTCATGATGTCAATCACGGGTCTTTCTGGTCTTCATTCGATTATTTACAGGCCGCCGTCATATAGCTGGAATATTGCTGAACGCTTTGTTAAAAGATAAACAAACAAAGTTAACCAGGCTAATATGTATACACATTCAAAAGGGCGATAGGGTGGGACAGTAGTTAACGTGTTGGCCCGCTACTCCATATACCCAGTTCGATTCCCCAACAATTTAAGTCATATGCACAAAGTTACAGACGGTAGCTTGTTTGAAACATACGTCCCACGAGGAAGGTTTTCGTAAATACAGCTGTAAACTTTTATCTCTTAAAAAAATAAGAGATCAAATACGATTTAACGCCGAAATGGGTTGAGCCAAGTTTCATTCGTCACTCCGAAGACTTAAACGATTTAAAACATGGTTACAACTTTTGACTCCCTTCTTTGCCACACCCACACCCTCCGTGATATAGCTGCTCTACTCGCCAATGCCCCGCCCCGTCACGTCAGACAAGAGGCCTTTCATTCAAATCGTGCAATGAGTGAGTGAGTGAGTGAATGAGTGAGTTGGGTTTTACACAGTTTTGAACAGTATCAATCACACCAGGGCGTATTAGCTTACTGTTGGTGTAAAACCCACCATGAAGCTGGTCACTGATGTTTACTATGAGGATGGGTATGAAGCTGACATGACAAGGATCATAATCAGAGCGCATCAGGGATTCGAACCCACGCCCAGCGGCCTAGGAACATAACCCTAAAGTGACGTAACTTGTGTCACTATGAAACCTTTCGGTTGTCTGCGTCCATTTAACGTTTACATGAAGAAATACGAAGGAAAAAAACTCTCGTTGGAAAATATGACAATTATGTTATTAAGCTTTCAAAACATTAAAATTGAAAACCTTGAATTATAAAAATTAGAAAGAACCTTTAATTCATTTTTTCCCAAGAACCCCCTACTGGCAATGTTTTCCCCCGTGAGTAGTTTCCCGTGTGACGGATCAAGGCATCAAATGTACACTGACGGAATCGTAAGATAATATTTATTGTTGGTCTCGTTCAAACCGAAAGCAATCGAAATGTTATCTCAAAATGTAGCTTTCCCTTTAAACAAACCGTTCTTTTGCCTCGCTGGAAGATACGATCTGTGATTTTCTTATGAGTGTTGCCAGGCTTTAGACTTTTATCGACTTGTGCAGATAAATTTCATTTCAAAAGACACTCGGTGAGAATCTCTTTATCCTTAACAGAGGAAATAAGTCAGGGAAATCAACTTATTAAGCCCGAATAACCACTTCAAAGTTCAATGCTCCCATTCAGTGGAGTTTTCAGCAACGGGATTGACGAATATCAATCAATATTCTACACGACATTCACACTTAAATAAGGAATGTATTTATTTTATAACTGTCTTTATTCTCATATTTTGATTAATTATTTCTTATTTATTTCCCGTTTAATATTTCCTGGTTGGGTACAATGATGAATTTATAGAACCGAACGAGGAAACATTAAGTCATATAGTTAATGTTCTGTCAATCTGAACAGTTTATGTGTCTTTAGAATTGCCCGTGTCATAGACCAATTACCAATCTGTCAATATCGTATCAATATCGTCTTTATTATAAACATCGTTATATATAGGTGTGTGAGGATGTTTAAATACAGGATTAAGGAGTATGTACACAGGTAGTTAATATCTGTTCCTTATGGGGGTATTAGTATGTCACCATTTTAATGTGTAACGTATGACACCCAGGATGAGCGACTTTTACATTACAGCCGTTATCGCGTCACGTGACTCGAGAGCGGAGTCTCGAATTAATAGGTATCATTCTCCTCACATCAGTGTAAATATTTGATGTCAGTTTAACCAGAAGAAGGTGATTAAACCATGTGTGTCTACCATGTGTCTAGTTTGGTGCGGGGCGGTCGGGTAGCCTAGTGGTTAAAGCGTTAGCTCGTCACGCCGAAGACCAGGGTTCGATTCCCGACATGGGTACAATGTGTGAAGCCCATTTCTGGTGTCCCCCGCCGTGATATTGCTGGAATATTGCTAAAAGCGGCGTAAAACCATACTGTTAGGCCACCATCAGATCTGTGAGGTCACCATCAGATCTCTTAGGTCACAATCAGATCTGTGAGGTCACCATCAGCTCTGTTAGGCCACCATCAGATCTGTTAAGTCACCGTCAGCTCTTTTAGGTCACCATCAGATCTGTTAGGCCACCATCATATCTGTTAGGCCACCATCATATCTGTTAGGTCACCATCAGATCTGTTAGGTCACCATCAGATCTGTGAGGTCACCATCAGCTCTGTTAGGTCACCATCAGCTCTGTTAGGCCACCATCATATCTGTTAAGTCACCGTCAGCTCTTTTAGGTCACCATCAGCTCTGCTAGGTCACCATCAGATCTGTTAGGTTACCATCAGATCTGTTAGGTCACCATCAGCTCTGTTAGGTCACCATCAACTCTGTTGGGCCACCTTCAGATCTGTTAAGTCACCATCAACTCTGTTAGGCCACCATCATATCTGTTAAGTCACCGTCAGCTCTTTTAGGTCACAATCAGTTCTGCTAGGTCACCATCAGATCTGCTAGGTCACCATCAGATCTGTTAGGTTACCATCAGATCTGTTAGGTCACCATCAGCTCTGTTAGGTCACCATCCGTTCTGTTAGGCCACTATCAGATCTGTTAAGTCACCGTCAGCTCTGTTAGGTCACCATCAGATCTGTTAGGTCACCATCAGCTCTGTTAGGTCACCATCCGATCTGTTAGGTCACCATCAGCTCTGTTAGGTCACCATCAGATCTGTGAGGTCACCATTAGCTCTGTTAGGCCACCATCATATCTGTTAAGTCACCGTCAGCTCTTTTAGGTCTCCGTCAGCTCTGGTAGGTCACCATCAGATCTGTTAGGTTACCATCAGATCTGTTAGGTCACCATCAGATCTGTTAGGTCACCATCAGATCTGTTAAGTCACCATCAGATCTGTTAGGCCGTTGTTAGGTCACTATTATGTTTGTTTGGTCACCGTCAGGTCTGTTAGATCACCATTAGGTATGTAAGGCCAACATGATGTCTATTAGGTCACCAACTGGTCGTTGTTTGGTCACCAATAGGTCTGTTAGGCCGATGTAAGGTCACTATTATGTCTGTTTTGGTCAACATCAGGTCTGGTTGGTCACCACGAGGGATGTTAGGTCACTATCATGTCACCATGAGGTATGTTAGGTCACTATTATGTCACCATGAAGTATGTTAGGTCACTATTAATTCACCACCAGGTATGTAAGGTCACTATTATGTCACAATGAGGTATGCTAGGTCACTATTACGTCACCATGACGTTTGTTAGGTCACGTTGAGGTCGCTGTTATGTCTGTTATGTCAGTTAAATAAACAGACACGTCTGAATCAAACGTTGTTTCTTGTAGCTAGTATTAAAGTGGCCCGGCACATGTTTGAAAATAGATATTCAAACACAGTAGTGTGTCTAGTGATAGCCACTCATTCACAGTATACGTACATGCGGAAAGGAAAGATAGTGGGTCCACCAACAAATGTCCAGACCTTTACTCAGTCCTGTATTTGATAAAGTTTCAAACAGCTATGAATTATTTATTTAAACACATTATCAAAATAGAAAGCATTACGGTGTAACAACTAACTTAAAGTAGGCGTAGGAGTCTGAAACCTGTTTTAATAACTGGAATATGATGGAATGTTTCCTCAACGTGGGTAGCAGACGACAATTACGGGTAATGGTCTATGTGAGGGCGCTTATCTCCACCTACAGGATGGGTGTGCGACGAACTGGGTCGACCTGCAGCTACACTCCTTGCGTTATATTCTGGGTAAACAGGACGATCCAGGTCAACAAAACCTGAACGTGTTTTGCCCAGAAATAGGAATAATAATGTAATCAGTTGCTGATGAATATTGAACATCGTCTTATGGAATTGAAAATTTGGATAAGACGACCTGGTGAAAGTGTGAATTTATGAAGGCTAATAGCAAGTCATAATACCCTGAGGTGAGTAATCATAGTTTAAATTCCATCGTCATGGCCGGTCTGCTTGGCACAGTTTGAATGCCCGAGTTGGGTTTTATCTTATGTTTGGACAATGGATGACACTGTTGATTGTTTTCCGATATGAAAATATGTGACATTTAAACAGGATATGGGGCATTAAGCATATGATACTGTTTCAGGTTTGGTCCAACATGTCGAGCCTGTTCAGGCGGGTGTCGAACCTGGTATGGGGGTCCCGGCGTTCCGCTTCAAGAGAAAAAGACAAAAAAAGCCCCAAAACTGGGAGAAAAAAGAAAGGAAAGAAAGACAGAGAGGAGCAGACGACACATGACGAGGTTAGTTCCGTGAAACAAACTATAAATAAGACAGCGACGGATCAAGCTGTGCTACTCAACCGTGACCGTCACGCGCGCACAGAAGACATGGCGGACACCGCAGTAGCAGACGACACGACCCATGACAACAAGTCCAGCGTTGAAACTCACGTGCGAGAGGAGGAAGCACTGAAAAGTTGTGATAGGGGACAGTTAAACAGTTCACCGTCTTGTGGAGACGACTATGTGACTTTGCTTGCATCACAAGCTTCAGGCGACAGCAAACGCGAGAGCGCGCATACTAAATTTGCACAGACAGGCTCGAAAGAAAGTGAATTGACCGACTCCGGCGAGTCGCAAACCTCAAGCTTCAGTCAGTTGGAGAATATATCTGAGAAAGAAGCGAGTTTACTACTGAACGACATGTACAGCGAGAGTTCTGTTGATTCGGAACATGGAACAGGGTCTGGAAAAGAAAATCAAAAACCGAAAAAAGGAATTAAACACATACTTCGTCGAAAAATAAGCGCGACGTTGACGAATATTGATTTGGAGCAGTGTGATCCTGAGATTTGTGTTAGTGTGTTAAAAATCCCATCTGTGAATACGTTCGGAGCTTTGAAGAAGAAGGTGAAGTCCAGTGGGAAAGAGTGGATGCAAGGATTCCTGGACGCCAAAGGTCTGGACGCTCTCTTGGACTGTGTGGACACACTTGGAAGTAAACGGGTAACCCAGCTGTCGGATGCCTTGCTTCTTCTGGAATGTGTGGCTTGTATCAAAGTGGTGATGAACTCCAAACTGGGCCTGGAATGCCTGGTCCAACATCCCGATTACGTCAACAGACTTGTCAAAGGTAAGAGAAATATATATAAGTACTTTATGAATCTTAGCGCCGTCACGGTGACGTTACAGCCATTGACATTTATGTTATTTGTTGCAAGACCCAAACCCCCTCGAGTTTTCTTATCGTCCTGAAGACGTACTCAATAGCCGTCATGACATATATGATAAATGGTGCACGGGGCGAAAACACACTCTTTTGTCGTCATTGTGACGGTAATCTATAACTGGCATGACATAGTAAAATTGTAGTGCTTATTGTGAACAAGAAATATATCGTATCGTCACGAGGACGTACAAGCCATATTCATGATGTCAGTGATCATGAAGAACATGGCAAAAAACAAACAAACAACCCTCTAACCTTCCTGTCGTCATCAAGACTCACATATATTGTTATGATGTCACTTTTCATATAAAGTACATGGCGAATATGAACCGCGAATGTTAATGTTAGCAGGAAGATGTGCATCAGTTGCCATCATAATATCAGGGACATTTGATGTTTCTGGTGATTTTGTTTGTTTGTTGTTTAACGCCGCAATCAGCAATATTCCAGCTATATGACGGCGATGTGTAAATAATCGAGTCTGGACCAGACAACCCAGTGATTGGTTTCTTGTGCCTCGATCCACGCAATTAGGATACGATGACACCAAGTCAGCGAGCCTGACCACCAGTCGCCTTTTACGACCAGCATGGGATGCTGTAGGCCAATTCAAACCCGAAACTTCACGGGTGAAAAGACACGAAACGTGTATTCGTCATGAAGACGTACTACGACTGTCATCATTATACCAGTGATATTTACTGATTGGTGTGAAAAAGACTCAAATTGCTTTGCCGTCATGCGGAAATGCATCTGAGACTAACTACCATGTGCTTTTGGTGCTGTCAGTGCTTTTTGTCGAAAAAGACACTAATCGTATTGTCGTCATGAGGACGTACAACTATCGCCATCGTGACATTATTCATGTATGGAACATGGAACTGATGTAGGTATGTACTGATATTACTAGAAGATTGCTCCTTCAATATGTATTATCAACCCCTCATCTGAAAAATATCAGACGGAGGTTCTTTCTAGTTTTATCAAATGCAGACCTAAAGTTCAGATCCTGTTCAGTAACAAATTGAATAACGATATTTTTGTGGGAGGTGAAGTGTGTGATAATTGTTCGAATGGGTGCTCAGAGAGAAATCATATCCTTGTGAACCTTCCGACATGTCTCATTCACAATTCAGGTTTTCCTCTCACTGTTAGCCTACACGCAATGGCAGAAAGAATACTGGAATACTGATAGCGTCATAAAACACAACTTAGTTGGTCGCTCAGCATAACGGCAATGCATGTGCGATATGGCTGAAGATACAGATACATGTATTTAACATAGGGACAAACAGTCTTGCACTTCATCATTATTTGATTGTTATGTCAAATGTACGTATTCATTCAAATCTGACTAGGGATCACGAAACAGGCGTTGTTCAAGTCCTTTGTTCTCAAATACAAATTTCGTTCCTTTCGAAGAAATATACGCTCTTATTCGTGCAGGAGTGTGGTAGCCCTGTGGTTAAAGCGTTCGTTTGTAACGCCGGAAACCCGGTTTGATTCCTAACATGGGTATATGCCCGGTGCAATTTCCTATTTTAATCTCTGCCATATGTTCCCGTGTTTTTTTCACTCGAACATTTGGCTAACATTACTTATGTTTTTTTGTCTGTTGTTTAACGTCACACTCAGCAATATTCCAGCTGTATGAAGGGCGGTCTGTTAATAGTTGAATAATAACCGAGTCTGGACCAGTGATTGACATCATAAGTATCGATCTGCAGCAACCAAGTCAAGGAGGCTGACCACCCGAATCCGTTAGTCGCCTCTTACGACAAGTCTGGGTCGAGGTACGCTCACCTTTTCGCGAACACCTGATATCGTCACAATATACCCGGATTCATAAACTTGCTTTTGTTATAGTCGGAATGGTACAAGGGGGAGATTTCTTATGAATATAGAAATGGGTCTACTTGCAATACGTGTAGGCCATTCTTGAAGTACCCCAACATCCCCACCCTACCACCCAGTCCAACCCCCACCTCCACCCACCGCCAACCCCCTCCCCACCCCAAAAAATCAAGAATACTGATGACAGCGACGTGAAACCTTACCCCATTCAACGAACCCGTCTTAATTCTCACGAAAAAAAAACAGTCACAGAATTCATTGTTTGACTGCAGACGTAATAAATTAGCACAAACCATGGCCTGTGGACATTTTCAAATGAATCGATTATGACGTGTTGACGTAAGAAGACATTGTGCCTTGATTAGACGTGTTGACGTTAACGTAAGAACATGATAGAAAGCCTTTGTCATTGCAGATCACATAACTTACCATGCTCCAATCACTGGAGGGCGGTCGGGTAGCCTGGTGGTTAAAGCGTTCTTGTCACGCCGAAGACCTGGGTTCGATTCCCGACATGGGCACAATGTGTGAAGCCCATTTCTGGTGTCCCCCGCCGTGATATTGCTGGAATATTGCTAAAAGCGGCGTAACACCATACTCACTCACTCAAATCACTGGAACAGTTGAGTGGTCACGTTGATGAAAGCGTTTAGATAGTCTTCATTCTCTGTTGACAACAACCGTCAACTCTGTATAGTATAAGCATTGGGGTACAACATTGGGGGCAGGGGTGGCCTACTCGTCCCTCAGGCGTGCCAGAAACTTTGGCTGTGGGTTCACAAATCAAATTTCAAATTCCATCTGTAACATGCAATTTCTTGAAAATACAGACAAGGCAGCATAACCAGTCATTTTCCATGATCGGTTTGATCAATGATCCATGATAAAGGCCCTAAAATAATGATACTTATAATAATAATTTATAAATCTAACGCCGAGTACAGGCAGGCTGCTCACGGGGACTTAAGATTATTATTACCCGGGTCAATGGATCAGCGTTCACTCGATTTCATTCTCAGCTCCCTGGGGAGTATACGACCCAAGCTGACTGTGAGGCTCTAGAACAGCCGCATCCAAACGGGGTATCAATTCACTGTTGAGTGAAGGAGACACCTCATGTGCTACAGTGTGGGGCAAGATCAAGGTCCTAGCAACCCCTGCGGAACAATACGTAGTTATGTTATATCGCTGAAATAAAACTTATATATATTCATTCGCGTCAATGCCCCTTTCATTTGCACACATCAATATGTTGCCTGCAGCGTGTTGGATTTCATCCCAGGGTTCGAGGATCACGGCCAGGGCAAATTACTTATAATTTATTGCCCTTCGAACATATTATCAAGGTCATTTCTAACGTGCTGCGACAGATTTTCCCGTAAAACACAATACGCGGATACATTAAACACAGGAAAGGAAAGTTCAGTCGACAGATTCAACAGGAAGGTGTGAAAGTTTCAGCCAATTTATTTGTTGTTAACTTTTTTAAATCCGTCAACATTTATAAAAGGGTAATAAATTTATTTTTGATTGACTATCACGTGACAGGTCAGGTCACCATTACATCCGTTAGATCATTGTTTTATTTTTGCAAACCTGATAAAAGCCTAAAATTACACCCAAAATAGGAAAACAAAGCACGGATGTAGCTTTTTGCAAGGAAGTGTGCATTTATAAAAGGGTAATAAATTTAGGTGGGTAGAACAGATGGATAGGTGGTAGAGCAGATGGATAGGTGGGTAGAGCAGATAGATGGGTTGGTAGAGCAGATGGATAGGTGGGTAGAGCAGGTAGATAGGTGGGTAAAGCAGATGGATAAAGCAGATGGATAGGTGGGTAGAGCAGGTAGATAGGTGGTAAAGCAGATGGATAGGTGGGTAGAGCAGATGGATCGGTGGGTAGAGCAGATTGATGGGTGGGTAGAGCAGATGGATAGGTGGGTAGAGCAGATGGATAGGTGGGTAAAGCAGATGGATAGGTGGGTAGAGCAGGTAGATAGGTGGGTAAAGCAGATGGATAGGTGGGTAGAGCAGATGGATAGGTGGGTAGAGCAGATGGATAGGTGGGTAGAGCAGATAGATGGGTGGGTAGAGCAGATTGATGGGTGGGTAGAGCAGATAGATAGGTGGGTAGAGCAGATTGATAGGTTACCACACAAAAACACCGTTGGCATGTGGTGTCTCCTTAGGCAAGAGAAATATGTGCCTCTGTCAGCCAGCAGTGAATGGGTACCCGGTAGGATAACATGATAATGTGACTGTAGTCCTTCCAGCACGTTATACGGTTGCTTGTAATAGGGTGTGAGAATGAAATTAGAGTGCACACTGATCCAACGACCTGGGTACAAATATTTTTGCGCCATGACTATTCATTAAGTGATTGAAATCTGATGCATCATGAATGGACTGTTATAGGTGACCGGACCATGGGACCATTTTGCACTTAAATCTCGACAATCTGACTTGCATAGATATCAGTAAGATGTTAGGAATCTTTTAATATTTCATTCATTCTTTTATAATGTTTCAAGTGCAATATATTTTTCATCCTACTTCATCTGATTCGAAAATGACATTAAAAGCATCTGTCGTGCCCAACAAGCCATCAAGGGTCATGCACCGTCCCTGTGCATGGAATAGATCACGAAGCTGTGATCTAAAAATGCGGTCGCCAGTTTTACAGCATTCTATAAATTTCAGATCTTGCTCAGGCAAACATTCATCAATGTTCTTGTCGCCACTGAAAAAAAGCAAACACCATCTTCGATGAAAGGTAGTCGGATGGTCAATACCCTGCGTACCGTGGTCGGCAACATGGTCAAACAGAAATTAGCTAGCTAGTTAGTTTTGATTTGAGTTTTTTTCCACCAGCCTAAGCCAGGCAACGTTTTTTCTTGATCGTTTTTCGACAATGCAATGGTAGTTTTTTGTCCAACAACAACGATCAAGAAAACACGTTGCATGTCTTTCGTTCGTGATGATAAGCTCAAATCAAAACTAACAGTTTGGAACAAATTATAATAAAACACAACTGAATGTCGAAATTATACG